GTTATGCTGCCTCCAGTGCTCCAGTCGGCATGGCACGCGCTAGGGAGGGACGAGTCTGTGTTTGTGTGTTTGTGTGTGGAGGGAGCGATTCGGAGAGAGAGAGAGAGAGAGAGAGAGAGAGAGAGCGAGCGACCCAGAGAGAGAGTGAGAGAGCGACACACCGCCACCGCGCGAGAGTTTTAGAGAGAGGGAGTGTGATGCGACTAGACCGTCACCCACCCTTGGGCGTCCGCCTCTTCCTATCTCTCTTCACAGTCTCTCGCCGATTCTCGCTGCAACCTTCATACCACCTCGCGGTCGTCCCACTCTCGTCGTTCTCTCCGTCATTTCCTCCTCTGTCGCGTCGTTCTCTTCTGCCTCGTCCTGTGACGCCGCCGCCTGCCGGTCCCTTGTTCTCGCGGCTTCTTTCGCCTTTCGGCGCAACTCCGCCCTCCTCGCTGCATATCCTGGCCCCTCGAGTCTATCGAGCTCTCCTCGAGCAAGAGGACGAGTCTTCTGAGAGAGAGAGAGAGAGAGAGAGAGAGAGAGAGAGAGAGAGAGAGAGAGAGAGAGAGAGAGAGAGAGAGAGAGAGAGAGAGAGAGAGAGAGAGAGAGAGAGAGAGAGAGAGAGAGAGAGAGAGGCAGAGAGTTTGTTTTTGTGTTGCGTGGCTGTCTCTGTGCGATTTCGGGCCCGGGGTTGTGCGTTTATTTGAACAAAAAGAAACGTCGCTGCCGGTAGCAAACAAACAAAGGGGAACCTCCCTTTCCATCAGAGTTCGCTCCCACTGAGGTCTCCGCTTTTATTTCGCAGAGGTGGGCTTGCAGGTAGGTTCACCCTTGGGGACCCGCTGTGTGCGGGGCGGGCATGTGCGCTCCGCGCTACCACACGCTCGCTGCGGCTCGGCCTGCGCTTGCAGCGATATCAAGCTCACGCCGCGCGATCGCGTTCGTCGCAGCGACCGCGATCCTCGGCACCCTCTTCTACCAACTGAGGAGGCGAGCGGGTGGCTGCAACCCAGCGCCCATGTGCCGCATCTGGTCGTGCAGCAAGCCGCTCGCCGCTCAGCTTGAGGACGAGTGGCCGTCGTGGCCGCCAGTCTCGCGCAATGGTATCCCGCGCGACAACCTTCCTGGCTGGTCGGCTGAGGTGCGGTGGAGGAGCCTGCACCGGCAACAGGCGGCGGCGGCGGCGGCGGCGGCACCACAGACTCGCCTGGTCTTTCTCGGAGACTCGATCACGGAGGGTTGGCTGCGCTCCGGCTTCTCGGGGACCGCTCCTTCGATCCCGCAGCCGGTGAACGAACAGCTGTGGCACGACGCCTTTGGCCTGTGGTCGCCACTCAACCTTGCCATCGGTGGCGACCGTGTCCAGGTGAACAAACAAATCGAAACTCGCTCCGCCGTCAGGGGCAGCAGCACCCACCTCCAAAGCTCGCCACCCTCTTGCAGGACCTCGGCTGGCGGTTGCAGCGCGGCGGCCTGCTCGCGCGGGCTCTGCGCCCGACGATCTTTGCGGTCATGGTTGGCACGAACGACTTGGGCGCTGGTGAATCATGGC